GAACAGCTGGTAGTTTTGAACTGCTGATCTTGCGGTTCACAGCCCGATTCGTAACCACTATGCTACCAGAGCTCCTATATAAAAACGATGGGAATTATAAAAATTCCTCTTTATGGGTGACTAATATTCCAGTGTAAGGAGCTCTGGTAGAGTAGTGGTTACGAATCGGGCTGCGAACCTTAAGGCCAACAGTTCGAAACTACCAGCTGCTCTGCAGGAGAAAGATGAGGTGCTCTGCTCCTGTAAAGATTTACAGCCTCGGAAACCCTGTACAGGGTCGCTATTGGTTGGAACCGACTCGATGGCACTTAACAACAACAACAATATTCCACTGTATGGATGTGCCACGTTTTGCTCATCCACTCATCAGTTGATGGATCTTTCCATTGTTTCCACCTCTGGGCGAGTGTGAGTAGCAGTGTACATCATGGTGCACACACTGCTGCTCTCGGATCTTGTTGGATATATACTCAGGAGCGGAACTGCTGGCCCATAGAGCAGTTCCATGTTTAAGCTGCTGAGATACTTCCGATACTTACAGTGCCTGTAACATCCCCACCAACAGCGGATGAGAGATCCTGCTTCTCCACAGTCTTGCTCACACCTAATGTTTTCCATTTTGTTTGTTTTTTTGTTATCATTGACATTACAGTGGGGAGGAGAAGATAATCTCATTGTGGTTTTGATATACACCTCTCAAGGTCAACAGTTCGAACTACCAGCTGTGCCATGGGAGAAAGATGAGGCTTTCTGCTCCCGTAAAGATTTGCAGCCCTGGAAACCATGTACAGTGTTGCTATGAGTCGTAACTGACTCAACGGTACATAACCACCACCACCACAATGTTGTGGCACTGTGGGATAAAAGACTGGCTTACAAGGTCAGTTTGAACTACGAGGTTGACGGTTCAAACTCATCAACTGGTCTTTGGAAACCGTAGACAGGTTCACTATAACTCAATGGCACTTAACAACAGTGATGATGACAATGGCTAATCCACTCATAGGCAGTGGTTGTTTTGTGTGTGATGATTTTAATGGCTCATTAGGAGACCAGGTGACAGAGAAGGTTAAACCTTGGGCTGCTCACCATAAGGCCAGCAGTTTGAGCTTACCAGCTGTTCCAGGGGGTAAGATGGGGCTGCCTGCTCCCATAAAGACTTATAGTCTCGGAAACCCTCTGGAGCCATTCTACTGTGTCGTGTAGGATTGCTCTGAATTGGGATTGATTCAAGTCAGTGGGAATGGCTAATGACTTGCAGCATCTTTTCACATGATGTTGACCATTTGAATATCCTTTTTGGTGAAATGTTTGTTATTTGCCTATTTTTCCCATTAAGTCTTTCCTCTTTTATTGCTAAGCAGAAGTATTTTACAAGTTTTGGGTACTAGACCTTTATTGGATACCCAATTCTTCTGAGTTTTCTCCCACTTTCTATGTTGTCTTTTCACTTTGTTCATGAAGTCCTTTGATGAAAAGAAAGACTTAATATTTCAAAGGTCCCGTTCTCTGTCTTTTACTGTGTTTGCTTTTATTGTCATATCTAATCACCCATTGGAAAAGCCCATAGCTTTTCCCTACATTTTATTCTAAGAACTGAATGATTTTGGTTTTCCAGTTTAGGTCCTTGATCCATTTTGAATTGTTTTTTGTGTTTGGTCTAAGTGTTGTATCCTGTTTCATTCTTCTGCATGTGGAAGTATAATTTTTCCAGAAACATTGATTAAAGAGACTCTAGCTTCCTTCACAGATGGGTACAGTACCCTCATTGAAAACCAGTTCACCAGTGTTGTTGTTAAGTGTCCTTGAGTCAGG